ACCCAAAAGGTCCCTTTAAGTTTTAAGGAAAAAAAAATCGTTCGGCCTCAGGAAAAACAGTCCCAACCGTGATAAGCCTTTTTTTTTAGTTTAAAGAAAAAAAAGTCCGGTTTGGCCCCAAAAAAAAGTCAAAATGAAAAAACCCCGGGAAGGGCCTTTTTTGTTTTTAAACGGAAACCAAATCCCCTTCAAAACCCCAGGGATAAGTTAAAAAAACCGAAGCTCCTTTTTTACGTTGCAAAACGCAAAAAAGGAAGCTGGTTCTTTGTCTCAAGAAATACGTCAAAGCTTATAAAAAATCCCCGAACAACCACGATGATAGGCCTTTTTAGTTGTTCTAAAAGGAAGACAAAGTCAGGGTTCTAGCCTCAGGGAATACAAATAAGCTGACCAAACCCACGGTGATAGGCTTTTGTAGTAATTCTAAACGGAAAAACAAGTACTGTTCGAGCCTCAGGGAATACAGTGTAGCTAACCAAACGCACGGTGATAGGCCTTTTTAGTTAGTGTGAATGGAAAACGAAGTCCGGTTCTAGCCACCAGGAATACAATCAAGCTGTCCAAACCCACGGTGATGGACCTTTCGAGTAGTTCTAAACGGACAAACATGTCCTGTTTGAGCATCAGGGAATACAGTCAAGCTGACAAAACCTAGATGGTAGGCATTTAAGTAGATTTATATGGAAAACCAAGTCCTTTCTTGTCTCAAGGAGTATAGTGAAGCTGACCAAACCCACGGAGATAGGCCTTTTTAGTTAGTGTTAATGGAAAGCTTAGTCCGGGTCTGGCCTCAGAGAATAAAATCAAGCTGACCAAACAACAGGCGATAGGTCTTTTTAAAAATTATAAACCGAACTTTTTTTCTGTTCTAGCCACAGGGAATACAGTCAAGGTGACCAAACACACGGTGATAAGTCTTGTAGGTAGTCGAAATCAGACCCATGTCCGGTTATAGCCTCAGGGAATACAGTCAACCTGATCAAACCCACGATGACAGGCCTTTTTAGTAGTCGTGAAAAGAAAAAAAAGAGTGGTTCTAACCTCTAGGAGAAAGAAAAAGCCAACCAAACCCACGGTTATAGACTTTTTGGTAGCTGTTTTAAAACCAAGTCCTTTCTACTCTAAGGGAATACAGTCAAGCTGACCAAACTCACGGTGATAGTCATTTTCAATAGTGCTAAGCGGAAGACTGGTTCTAGCTTCTAGAAATATAGTCTAGTTGACCAAATCCATGATGATAGGCTTTTGTAGTTGTTGTAAATGGATAACGAAGCCCGGTAATAGTCTCAGGGAACACAGGCAACCCGAGCAAACCCACGATGAGAGGTCTTTTTAGTTCTTCTGAACAAAAAAAAGAAAAGAAAAAACAAACACAGTACAAGTCCGTTTCTGTCATCTGTAAATACAGTTAAGCTGACGAATCCATGGTAGTAGGTCTTTTTAGAAGTTTTAAAGGGAAAACAAAGACCGGTTCTAGCCTCCTTGAATACAGTTAAGCTCACAATACCAAAGTTGATGGGCCATTTAAGAAGTCGTGTAGAGAAATCAAAATTCGGTTCTAGCCTTAGGAAAAACAGTCAAGCTGACCAAGCCCACTGTGTTAGGCCATTTTCGTAGTTCTTTACGGAAAACCCAAGTCTGGTTCTAGCCTAAGGCATTATAGTCAAGCTGACAAAACCCGCGGTGAAATGCCTTTTTTGTTGTCGTATATGGAAAACCAAGTCCGGTTCTAGGCTCAGGCAACACAGTCAATCTGATCAAACCCACGGTCATGTGTTTTTTAGTAGTTTTAAACAGAAATACCAAGTCCGATTCTAGCCTCAGGGAATACAAGAAACTGACCAAACCCATGGTGATTAGCCTTTTTAGTAGTTCTAAACGGAAAAAAAATCTTGTTCGAGCCTAAGGGAATATAGTAACGCTGTTTAAATCCACGGCGACAGGCTTTATAGTAAGAATAAATAGAAAACAAAGTCCGGTTCTAGCATCAGGAAATACAATCAAGCTGACCAAACCCATGTTGGGGGTCATTTTCGTAGCTTTATACGGAAAAAAAGTATTTTTCGAGCATCATGGAATACATGAAACACAGTCAAGTTGACCAGTTCAACTATCTTAGGCCTTTAAGAAGTTACATATGGAAAACTATGTCCTTTTCTAGTTTCATTGAATACATTGAAACTGACCAAACCCACGGCGATAGACTTTTTTGTAAGTAAAAATGTAAAACTAAGCCCGGTTCTAGCCTCAGGGAATACTATCAAGCTGACAAAGCCTACGGTTATGGACCTTTTTAGTAGTAATAAACGTGTGGTTGTCTTTAAGGAATAAAGTCAAGATGACTTTAAACTGGTTATAGGCATTTTAAGTAGTTCTAAAAGGAATTATAAACAAAGAGAATACAGTCAACCTGACCAAATCTACGGTGAAAAGCCTTTTTATGGGATCCATAGAGGTTTACGATCATAAGCAGCAAAAATGGGTACCTTACATACCGGACCCAGAGAAATTGTAACAACATTTTAAGATTTAAGAGACGGTTACGTAGCACCCGATTATAGGGGTCGTTACCATGTCGGAAGCGGTAATTCGCGTAAACAACTCGGTACATTAGAAGCAAAGCTCAAAGAAGCGGAGGAAAAGCTCAAAGAAACGGAAGAAAAGCTCTGATGCGCACAACGTCCTATGGTCAATATGGTTAGTTCCGTAACATAGGCAACTGAAATTGCAAAGTCGGAGGTTAAACGATAACAATATTCCAATACACAGGTACCGATCCGTAAATAACGTAAGATTGACTGGAATCACCTGATGTTCTAAATATGAACAATTATCAGTTACACTATAAATTGCAAAAGTACCCGGTGACAGTGTGCGCTGCGGATAAATTACGCGTTAAAAAGGATCATTTCGTGATTTTGAACACAGATACGAGTGATGGGCCAGGAAAACATTTGATGGTATTCGATTTTCCTACGCACGGGCCTTACGAATATTTTGATTCACTTGGAAAAAGCCCTGAAAGCTATGGCGTTGGCTTTGAGAAGATACTTTAGAAGGAATATCTCATGTACAATGGACGACAAAATCAACAAAAGAGAGACAACTATTTATATTGTTTTTATTAGCTTAAATTCACCAAGCTGCAGCATTTGTTTGGAAAAAGTAAAATATGATTGTTAAGCGTATAAAAAGAAATAAAATGTTATCACAAAATGCAGATATTCAATTTCTATATTATTTCGTAAGACTACTCCTAGAAGAAAAAGCTACATGGAAATTGTATGAAGATTTATACAAAACGTGACTAAACAAACTAGATCATTAATAAAAAACGAATTTCGTCGCAACAATTCCAAAAATATAATGATTTAATATTTTTAGAATATTGAATGCGTGTCAGTTCAATACTGCATTTATTGAACGAGTTGAATAAAATTATATAATATAGGCCTCTGGCAAGCCTTATATTATTTTATTTAACGAGTTCTAATTTAGTAATGAACCAACACGAATATAATATCCTTGTTATGACATACCTAAAATACTATTTGAAGCGAAAAAGTATCGTGCTTCATTGACGCATTTATAGTGTAACGCTTATATTTAGCGTGTCTTTACAATATGTTTGTTTAACGCAAATGACGTCATGTATATTCACGGCTTTGCATTTTACCATTTTTTCTCGCAAAAGCAGCACAGGCACGTGATATTTCACTTACTGTTTGAATAACGTTTTTTACACGGAATGATGAAACAATACTTGACATAATTAAACATAATAGGGGAATAAGATTTAGTTTAGGCTATGTACAAAGTAAGTAATATACAAACTAATTCAAGTAGTTAACCTTCCTTATTCCTTAAACAGTTTTTCTTTCTCACAAGCTGTTTTATGTGATTATGGATAGATGGAGAAATTGGACAAAAAGCCCTTAAAATGTTTTAAAATTTAATTCCAAGGAGAATGACTGACTTTTATATTAATTCGTCTATGGACAAGTTCTGTTTTTTTTTCTTCCGCCAACTTGTCGAAATTTCGATGCAGAGCTGCAACGCCAGTCTTTATGAGTTGAACTATCAATATACACATGCTTCACTATCACGCAATTCTTTATAGATAGCACTATTTTTAAGTTTCTTATACCTTAATATGTACATAAAAAGCAAACATATCTGACTACTGTTTACATCCGAAACAATCACACACCATTTTCAATAATTATTTATACAGAATATCTTTCACACGTTTATGCAACACGATGACCTGACAAGCCACGGTTCTACACATATTATTAACAAACCAAACAAAGCACATATTTAAAAAACAAAGCATAATCTAAGATCATCTTGACATGACAAAAATCACGCAAATATATTCAACAAATCAAGTACCGTCCAGCAATATCACCACACTTAATTAGATTACAGCAAAGAAGCAAATGATTATAATAAAGATATAAAACTCCCTTCATTACAATAATATTCGCTGCTCAAATGTATTTTATCGCTATACGCTCCCACAGTATCTCCCCCAACTTGAAGTAAATATTCCCAAAAATTCATAAGGATTGACATTAGAAATTAATAAAGTAAATAGTTTACCTATATAACGAGCAGCTTCAGTTTGGAAAGCATACATAGTAATTTTGTTATCACATAACGTACAATAAACGTCTAACAACGTATCGCTGTACAAGATTACAAGAATTAAGATAAAAACAACATCACACCTGACCATAGAATAAAAACAACTGAAATACAAAAATAATACCCACTCATTTTCTCCAAAGTATAAAGACTTGTAAGTCATGATATATGAAAAATATGAAAATATAAGTTATATAAAGATCTCTTTTAATCCTTGTATATATTCAATATATATCAATTAATAGTTTTGGCAATGTTATCTGAAAAATATACTTGTTAAACGATAAATTGTTTTTTTTCTTCAAAATTTGTATACAGACAATTTGGAATAATATTCAGTTTTCGTGTGCTTTCAAAATTTGTATACACACAAGTTGGAATAATCTTCAGTTTTCGTGTGCTTCAATTTGTAATAACCAACACTCCGATCATTTTCAGCAAATTTAACATAACCATCAGCATCTCTATGTGGTTCAACATCTGCACCCGGATTGATGTAATCAGCAACGTCAGCCACGGTAGTTTCCTTTATTCCGTCGTAAACATCCTCGTCGTAATGCCCTTCTTCCATTTCTGTTTGTACGGTTTCAACTTCTTCAGTGTTTTGCAAACCTCCTTTACCACTATTACTAGAAAAGAAGATTTGTTTCATAATTGACAGGTACATCGAACAGTTGAACAGTCTGTTTATAATTGTTATAGCAAAATCAATAGTCAAAGTATGCTTTTTTTATTTTCTAATAAAATATGAATGGTATAATTACTTACAGTACGTTCGAAAGGTCCGTTTCTGAAAGACATCAACGACTTTGTTAAAATATGTGTAATTTCAAGAAATAATTTATCTACAGATATGGTATCAAATACTTGAATACATTTTGTTTTTACTTATCCTTAGAAATGTTTTACAATAAGATTTGTAAATTACTTTGTTGATATAAAAGGAATGTGTTATATTTCTTTGAATATCCATATGGCAAAACCATTAAAGGCTATTCTTAAGTCTTTGAACTCGGTCGACAAAATTATTCGCTGGAATCAAGTTATCTTTGACATTAAAATGCAAATCTTAAAAAAAAGAAATTTAAGTAAGAGGACAGTTTGTTTTTCTATGCATATTTTGATTGTTAAATGACAACTTACTAGTCTTTTTATGTTCTCTTCTATACCTTAAACAGCAACATACAGTAGCGAGAACAACAATTGATAAAACGCAAATTGAAGATATCAGTACAACTATCAATGTTGTTTGATCTCCAACTTCTGGAAACACAAAAAAAAATCTATTTAGACATTACTCCTGTAGTGAAAATCATTTCAAACATTTTTGACTCAATCCAGTAAGAATAAGTATTTCCCAGGGTCATGAATTTGTATGAAAATTATATCAATAAAATCTTTAAAGTTTGTATAGTTTGTATATGTTGTTATTTCCATACCATTCTGACATCTATATCCCTCGTATCCCTGATCACAAGAACACACGAATCCATTGATTGCGTTAACACACGCACCATTGTTCTCACATGGCTGAGACAAACATTCGTCTATATCTATATAAAAAGCATTTGTTTCAATATTATCATTTATGTCAGGAGTCACTGATAATTAAACTTTTGTCATAAAGTATCAAGGACATCCTTAGATGAAATTGCGCGTGCAAGAACAACTAACTAACCATGTAATCTTTAATATTTAATATTTGAAATGTAATTTAAAAGAACGCTGAGCAATGAACGTAGAAAATAATCTCTTAAAATCTAAAACAATGTTTTCTCAAATACATAATTGAGTTATTATAGGGGATTATTTTATTCAACCTTAACGTAATTGGGGTAACACCAGAAACGTCATTCCGGATCACACTCAAGTATAATACAGCTTTTTATGTCGGGTTGCATTTGATATATGCATAGAATATATATAAAAAAGAAGTATACAGGTATATAATAAATAAAGTACATAGTAGGGGAGCCAAAGTACACATATGTGCTAAAATAGTAAATTATATGCACCCCGAAGATAACATATAAAACACACTGGAATTTTTCAAGTATTACATCCAACTCTTGATGTAATTACTAGAATAGGAAAATAATTATCTTCTTCTAAATTTTTACATTTTTCCCATGTTATATTTGCATTGTAAATTTTGTACTTAATTTATTCATAATCTATTTGTGTTCGATTGTTTATGAAGCTATAAGTTTATAAAAGCTTTCCCGAATCCGTTCCTGGAACCAGTCAGTACTGAGCAATGATTGTAAAAAGTGCAAGTTACCGTTAAAGCCCTCTAGCACCGGCTTAAGCAGAATGCAACATACACACATTAAAATGTTTAAAGTTTGAATTTTGGAACATCTGCAGATGTGTTCATACGGCGGTTAGAATTGAATCTTTAATGTGACACGTTGGTGCTGTTCCATGAGTATGCAATTTTCATGCATTTTTTGTTGTTGTTTTCATTGCTTCTAAATGACCACCCCTTTTCCAGATTTTTATTCAAAACAGGTGTCAAGTGTCGTGCGGCTGTACAATGTCGACCCGTATTCCACACTAGTGCTGTTACATTTGTTCTTTAATCTTCGTTCTGAAGATTAAACTCCGCTTAAGCTGATGTTGGAGGGCTAAGATCGAGAGGATGTTGCAATTTTCCATTATCCAGTCTGCCATTTTCATGTATTTTTGTGGTTTTTAATGCTTCCGTTGGATCGCCCCTTTTACAGATCTTTAAAAAGCGATGTTAATTAAACAGGTCTATGGAAAACGTCGAAGAAAATGCTTTTGCAAAGCTTGATATGCCCCATTACCGAATATGTGTGAGTTTAATTTTCAAAATTAAAGAAAGGTTTAAATCCATTACATGTATATCTTTGTTCTTTTCACAAATTGGTATATAATGTATGTTTTACACGTACATGTATTTTAAGTTCTCGATGTATAAAAAGCACAAAGCTAAGATATTAACGCAGCTAATGGTAATCAAGAACAATATGTCTCTATAACACAAATCATGTTTTTTTCTTAATAAATATCTAACAATAACAATTTGACACCTTTCTCATCATTTAAGTCACATTTACAATTGAATAGAAAGATTATGCTATATTTAAATAATCGTGTAAGCAATCAACATAATAAATAATCAACATTTTGCAAAGCCGTAATCAAGCATCTTATCAATCAATAATATTCATTTTTTACACACGGTTTATTAACACAGTACATTCATTACATTAACTTCTTCATAAATATATTAATTTGTTGCTACGAAGGCTGTAGAAGAAATATTGGTAAAGAATGTCGTTTAAAGTAAATATAGATAAAAGATTGACAGAGGCAAAAATTAACACTGGGCTTTCATAATTCACCAGATATAGTGTATAGAAAGTTTATGAAGCACGTATAAAATATCAGACAACAAATAAGTATTGCTACCGTATATGGTGAACTACAAAGAGTTGCCCTTTTTATTTTACTTAAGATAAGCATTGAAAAGCTTTTTGTTATAACTGCTAAGAATCCAACTTCTTTTTCGTATAAACTTATGATGATGACATATAATAACAATTTGTTAATAAATGGACTAACGATGTTAAATGTCTTTAACAAGACTTAGGGTTTACTTATTCATTTGATAAGCCTCAGCCTATTTTTCTTGAAGTTGTTGTCCAACGTATATATGATCAATATTTACAACAATGGTTTTCTGAACTCGATACGTATAGTTTAATTAAAAGTACGTTTGGAAAAGAGAAGAATCTTGATCTATCCCTTTCATGTTTAAGATGTTCTGCTCATAAGTAAATAATTGAAGAAGGAAGATGAAGAAATATTGAAAAAATCAACGATTTCATTTAAAATGAAATATGAATGTAGCGGAAAAAGTATATCATTTTTACTTCCTTTTCCGTATTACATTGATATACGGAGAGAACATTTACCAAAATACTACTGCTCTTGGCCAAATATACAAGTTTAAAATGTTAATGGATAGCTCACAACAGAATGTTTTATAGAAATTGTCTTAATTTATTCACTATGCAAATCTAGCTAGAGAAACAACTGGTAGCTAATTCCAACTTATTTCAAACATTATTTTGTATATTCTTAGTATTTATTTCATAACTATGATATTATATATGTAATATTAATTTTCTCGTAATTAGATGTTTGATGTATTTGTTTATATGTTTATGTATGTATTCACGCCATTATTGTTTATGGCAAAAGACATGTTTGTGCTTTAATAAAATCTTGAAAATCTTGAAATCTTGTTTACAGCAGAATATGTACCAGATAGCCTAGACAGTATTGATCTACACTGTGTATAGACGGCGTTATACGGGATAGAAAGTGCAAACTAAAATGTAATGACAAAATGTTTCTGACAAGACAACAATATAGTTCCGGGAAAATTTCAAATAACAAATGATTTTGAATTTTCAAATATCATAGTTAATCATATGTCACAAATTTAGTAATAAATATTTTAAAGATCCTGTAACACACATTTTTATGGTTTTTAATCATAAATATGATGCTGCTCAAATTAAGATTTATCAATATTGTAGGTTCCAAAAAGCATTATTTATAAAAATATTACTGAATTTGACATTTCATGTAAATAAAGGGAGGTAATAAGAAATTTATTTTCTATAAAGTTTAAGTGAAATTTTCCAATAAGAAATGAATGCATATATTTTAATGAGTACATATAACATGCACAAGTATTTGCAGTACATATTTTACATATTCTTTGATGTTATTAGCATAATTTTAAACATATATGACATATATTTATAATTTCACTTAATGTGGTTATTCGGATCATACAGGATCTTTAAAATTACTCTACTTAATCACACTTGTTGAGAGAGCATACCTTCGCACTTTACAGCTAAGCTATATGAACATCCTCCTATTGTATAGGAACAATCCGTTAAATCTATTTCGTTCCCATTGCAAGACATATTCGACATCCAGGTATACTTAGTATAATCCATAACAAAAGCATCCAATATTTCGGAAACACCCCTGTATAATATATAATAATACATATTAAAGTAAAGTGACATACAGAATAGCTAAATACTATAAATTTACATGTTTGTTCAATGTGTTAATTAGATTGTGATTCTTAATAATAACTTGTGTACTTTCATCTACTGATTAACCATTCATTAATGCTATATTATCTTCATGTAAATACTTACACATATCCTAGGATTTTACAAAGAACACTGCCAACAGTTTTTATTTGAGACGTATTTCTCTCGTCTTTCATAAAAATTGATCCCCAACGACCACCAATCTGTAGCTCTACAACGCCTTCGTTTGGATTTGGTCCATTAACTAATCGAATTGATGTGACATTAAAATCTAAGAAATAATAAAATGGTTAAATGTTTTTGACGTTTACTACTGATAGTTACATTATTTCGACAACATGAACAATAAAACATATATCCTAGTACTTTGACCCCCCCCCCCGACAAAAAAAAAACACAAAAAAACAAAAAACAACTACGCTAGAATATTATAAGTTTAAAATGGATACATGTGATCAGTATGTACAAAATTTACTAATATTTATTTACATGCGACGGTTGATTTCTAAGTCTTAAGCCGTGTTTTAAACGTATAAATTTTATTATTAGCTTTCCTATATTTCAAAACAATTGTAACATTTGTTTGTATATTTCATAAATTTTGAGTATAAACAATCGTTTTGCTTTTGTGGATTGTTAGCTGAATGTTATTATTTGTTTAATAACAATAATAAAATTGAAAACATTTTTCATAAAGATGATATCATAGATTGTTTAAGGTTTCTTAATCCTGAAAAAGAGCCCTTTCTTATAACCTAGCTTTAGTTCATAAAAATGTTCATAAAAATGTCCATAACTCGTTAACCATACGGTAAACTTGGTTTGAATGTTGCATACATGTGTCCATCAAGGCATATAAGTTACCGATGTTGTAAATTTAACAGTTCCTTATAGTGCCCAATAGGGGGATTTTACCTTAATCACAAAATAATAAGCAAATATAATTGAAATACATTAGTTAAAATTCATACATCTACTGGTCATTATCAAATAAAAACGAAAATTGATAAAATTACAGACCGAATTATTGATAAAAAACACGTTATTTCGCTGTTGATGATAGCGGCGCTTTGCCGTCAAAGTAACGCTGTTACTGTGTATAACAAGGCTGCAGAAGTATCGCTGATATATGTACTGTTCGTTATTTTCGTGGACTTTTATCGTAGAAATGTTAGAAATAGATCTAGACCGATTTAATTTTTTTCACAATACACTTTCGCATCTGTAATTTTCATTCAAATATATCAATACATAAAAAGTTACATTCATTTAACTAACACCAAGAAACATATATTTCCGTGCGTCAATGTCATTCATAAGCCAAGTGAGCATCGCACTTTCTCAACGCAATCGCGGATAATGCTTACACATTTCTTATATAATCTGATGTCTATACACCCACATGTTCACCGTCGTAATGCAACACTCAAAGGGCAGCGTCGGTGGCGCGGCGAAACTGATATCGATATCCATAGGAGCAAGAATGGGAGAATATGGCGAATATTCCAACACTTCAAATTCCAGACTTATATCAAGCATGATAAATGCAGCACAATGGGCGGGAGCATATCTTTGTGAATCACAGTTTCGAGGTGATCAATTCCCGACTTTCTTGAACGTCTGCTAAGTTTGCGCCATTTTTTCTATTCCGAAAATGATGTTTTTTGCACTAAAATTGTAGGAAATTGGAGCCCGGCAACAAGCAAGACATAAAGTTACTATGGTTACGAGAATTTTTAGAGCGTTTATAGAGAATAATCTTTGCTCTCTTCACAATGTATACGTATTACTTTAATACAGAATAACGGTAAATATAAAGAAAAAATATTTGAAAAATATAGTAACTGCAAAATTCCCCAAATTTATCGAAAAGCCCCCGTATATGTTAGCTAACAAAAAATCAACAAGATCTGAGATATTATTTTTCATTACAATAATTTTATTCTTTGTTTCATTATAATATTTATTTTTTTAGAATAGAAAATAGTTTTTCGCCTGACATATCAATTAAATTATAGAGTTTTCGGAATATCAATGAAAAAAATAAATAAATTCAATTATTATTAGACTTACCAAAACAATGAAGCCAGGTTGCTCCGTAAATAGGATTCCAATATTGATAATGTGGTACAAACTTAAAGCTTGAAGGTCCTTCGCACTGCATGATGTCTGCTTCCGTACCATCGCATGACAAATATCCGTACCAACCTTTTCCGACATATGACTCTAATAAGGTATACCCCGAACTAAAACCTACATTTCTAATGTAAAATTTCTTTTTTCTCATTTCACAACATCTATTACAATTAAAAGTGTTGGTTTTTACCATCATGTGTTTACTAAATATAGAGCGCTTACGGAACGTCGGTTGTTCTATTCAGGTGCCCGTTCGTGCCTGAAATAATGCACGGAAGGTCACCTGAGGTCTTCCTCCACCAGTAAAGCTGGAACGTCGCCATATGACCTAAATTGTGTCGGTGTGACGTAAAACCCCAATCAAACAAACAAACAAACTAAATAGAGAGAAATGTGGACATTTTAAAGTTTGTCTAACACGTCTAAATTCAGATAAATATGAAGAAATAATTATTTAACATGCATCATTGCATCATTTTATACAATTCACTTCCGATTCCCATTTTAATAAGATATTGTGTGTATGAACGTTAAATTATAATAAAAAACAGGTAATAAAAGGCAACATTCAACAGGCCGATGATCTATTCATAAATGTTCATGAAATACTTAACTAAATGCTTTTATTTGTTTTGATTTCAGGAGTAACCATTCATGTTTAAATAATATTACAAACAAACCGAAAACCAAACGTTTCGCAAAGAAATTGTGCAGTGACGTCATTGAATCCATAATCCAAAGAACTGACATATCCCCAAGAACCGTTGTAAAATATCTCAACAGTACCTTCATCGTTATACTCGTTCCATGTAGCCAATCTAACAGCTGAATAAGATTTCAACTTTTAAGGTTTTTGTATTTAAATAATCTTACAGTAAGTTTGGTAATGCTAAAATCTGATTTTTTCCATAGTGGTCATTATGTTTGTGCTGTCATATAATCGATTAATCACTAGATTTAACAATCACCAATCCTGTTATTTTAAGAATATTTGAAATGTCTTGTGTACATGTATATTGTAAATTGAAACATGTACATCTATTCTGAGAAATAAAAATGTTTAACCGGGCAGTTTATATTAAAAAAAATGATGACGGCGGAAAACTATTTTACGGAGGTTAGTTGGCTGCTTAAGCGATTTTCAAATATATACAAGTCATACACAAAAATAATACAAATAAATTTCTACCACAAAAAAAATAAATAAAACCATGTCCATTCACCTGAAAAATATGCTTTCATGTTTTCTACATCAGCAAATACAAAAGCGTAATTTAAGAAATTTTTCAACAACTGTTCAAAACATTTTTTATGTTTTCGAATGTATTACTCACCTTTGCATGTTATATAAACAGCTCTTGTACAATTTTCGATGACTGCATTAGATATTGTGCACTCATTTAGAGATCTCTCGTTTCCCGTGCATGTTAGTTTATAGTTAAATATTGGTATTGAGTCGGGATCACCTTCGGTAAAAGCTACCAAACCGCTAATAACAATTAAATAAGTGTTATAAGTTATATATCTATTTCCGTCTCTACTTGTTTTGTTTATTTCATTCTCTACACTGTATGTATGAAATAACAAATTCATCAAAAATATTAAAAAAAAAGAGATATAAAAGGGCAAATTTTTAAAAACATTTTTTGAAAGGTTTGTTTGACAAAGCCCTTTTAAAGGGGACGCTAGTTTTAAATTTAAATGCCAAAGGTAACATTCATCTTTCCCCCCTTTTAAAAAAGGTTAAGCTGGCTTAAAACATTTTCATTTGATGATTAGGGATATTATTTTTATAGAAAAATTTATAATGGATCAAGTTTTTTCCCTCTTAAAAAAAATACCTAAATGTTAATTTTTTTTAAATTTTAAGAAAAAATTACTTGTTCTTTTTTTTAAATTGAATATGAAGTATTTCTTTACACTTGTTTAAAAAAATAAAAGGGCCCGAACAAAAAAAATTTACTTATTATTTTCGAAAATTTGGTTACCCCACCCCCTTTCCCTTTCCTGTTTTAAAAACCTTGGAAAACACAATCGTTTTTTGTTGGAAAAGCCCTAGAAGCATGCCGGTTTTTGGGTGACAGTCCTCCCATCAGTCTGTAATCTATATAAGAGAAAAGTGGAAACAGCGAAGATCACCCATAACGACCAAGATGAAAACTTCGCTGCCCGGTTCATTATGTCAATTTATAGCTGATATGCATGCTAATATACTCGCTACCACAAGGATCTCTTAGCTCCAGTTGAATAAAATTCTCAACATTAAAATACAAAAATTATGTTAATTAGAATAAAGTTATTTCCTCAGATATGTCCATACGTTCCAAAGTTAGAATATAATGTGTGTTTAATTAAAAAAAAGCAAGAACCTTGACTAATAAAGTGCTTAATCTTCATGTTGGGATATTGAAATTCAATAATGTCAAAATTGATTTAAAGAACATTATCTCGAACACAAATATTATCTCTTGGTGATTGACCTACAAAGATCAGAATGATTACATCTCTGATTAATAAATGAGCCGCGCCATGACAAAACCAACATAATGGGTTTGCGACCAGCATGGATCCAGACCAGCCTGCGCATCCCCCAGCAAAACATTTAAAAAAGATATCATCCCTCTTAGATATTTGATTCAGCAAAAAAGCATTTTTTGAATCATGAACAAAGGGAGAAACAAAAGGGGGGTTTGTAAATAAAGATATTTAACTTTTTTAAAAATTCCCCCGGGGCAATATAAAAGAAGAAACCGGGTACATTCAACTAATTAAAAAAGATTAAAATTTTAAAAAAAAATCTTTAATTTTTATTCTATTATACAGATAGATAAACTCTCAAACCACCTGCTGGACCAGGTTGTTCAAAACATTGATTAAAGTAGAACACCCCTAATGGGCACTATAAAAAACTGTAAAATGACAACATATGATAGTTATATACCTTAAATGTCACCCGTATGCAAAATTTAAACAAAATTTACCGCGTGGTTTATGAGTAATGGACATTTTTCTGAACTAAAACTTTGCCATTAGAAAGTTGTTTTTTTCAGAAATGAGGAAACTCTTAAAATCTATAATATCATCATTATAAAAAATGTTTTCCTATTGCTCATTGTTTGGAAACAAATTATGACATTCAGGTAACAAATAAAACAAACCAAATGATTGTTTCTAAACGAAATGTTTTACTATGTATAAAAATGTAACCCTACCCCACCCACTTTAAACACTTATTTGACCATTTCCTTATGTAAAAAGCCTTATTCAAAATATCCCTAAAATTTTCCACAATGAGGGGCTGTTTTCAAAGTTTAACCAATGGTAAAGGGCATTTATCGATGGGCATAGACTGGTTAAAGTTAACCACTGGATAACGCATTTTATCCGTAAGATAACTTTTAGGAAACAGATTTATCCAAAAGACAAATTTTAGCCAATGGATAATATTTTTATCACTAATCAATGTTGAACAACCCGGTCAAGATAGCATACTTAACTTACTTTTTAACTCGTATGCGAGGAACGTTGCGAAATGAAAAACATCCTTTAACCAGCCTAGTGAAATAAAGTGCAATTCTTTTTCATTTAGAAATTGGGGACAATCGTTCTTTCAAACTTCAATCCTAAGCAGATACTGTTTTGTCATATAAATAATTTCATTGCACCGACACCAACACGAAAAATACGCAGACAAATTTAGTAAAATTGTATTTACTTACCTACACAATATAGCTTGCTGCCATAATCACGAAGCGATTGATCTACCATACCGTATGGGCTACGTTCCAATTCGTCAGTTTTGACACATTCATCAATACTTGGTTCATTTCCATTGCATTCTAATTTTTGCAACCAAAAATAACTGAACGTGTTGTTTTCTTGGTGAATATCGCTGGCACCATATCCAAACAGACTATATATTATAAATATAAAAAATAGACATGTAAGTATGTATTTTTTTTTGCTTCCAGGTAGTTTCTCTTTCCTTATCGTCTAAAAGAAGTGATTTTAACCAAATTGGTCTTTCTAATATGTATTTGTCTCTACAGCATTATACGCGTTCATTTAAACAAATATTCCTATTGTCTTTATAAATTATCCCGCTCTTTTATGAATTTTCCGCCGACAATATTTTTAAACCTTAAAGTTGGGAGGAAATGCGACTTAACCACAACAAACATTTAGTATATTGAAGGTAGTTATGTTAAAATTGTTATGTTTAAATTCATAAAACATTGTCAGAAAAAAAATAGTGTGAGATTTTGTAACATTTTCGGTTGATAACCTACCTACATGTAATATTCAACGTTACATGTTGCAAAACCATGTAGCCGAAAATGCCTACTTTTAAATTAAACTGCAGCTGTGTTTATATATCAAAGGAGGTTAAAATAATGTATATAATATTTAGTATTGTTTCAAATCAATAGTTGTGCAGATTGTAACAACATACCTTAAGTTGAATTTATTACATAAAAGTGAAGCTGTGGCGTCAGAAAACTGAAATTCTGGGTGTCCGATTGATCCCCACGAACCATTGTAAAATATTTCTACAAAACCCTCTGTGCCTTGTGGGTCGGTTGGCAGTAGTCGAAATTCAAAGCCTAAATTATAAAATCAGGCAAATATATGTCTTTATCTTTATATCATTAATATTTTAGTTCAAGTAATTAGATATGTAATCCGCTGATTCTTATACATTTGTAGTACAAAATTAAATATTCATTGGTGAATACAATATTGAATATTCATTGTTGAGTACAATATTGAATATTCATTGTTGGGTACAATATTGAAATCCATTAAACGAGAACAAAACTGTCAATTTTGACAGAACTTAATGTACAGATTCAATCAAACCGAGTCTGCAATTCTCTTGTAATTTTGTTGTGATTAATGCTTCCTAGGGATCACTTTGTTTCCAGATTTTTGTTACTTTGGACTTTGAAAATGAAAACGAAGCTTTTTGGCGTACAGTATAGATTTGATGTGGCCTATATGACTCTGGACATGAAACAGAAGCTTAACTAAGATTGAATCTAATAATGCTTTCTACTGGAACATCACAGGGTGTAAATACTGGAAGTTTATTGGTTACATTCTTTGAGATAAAAAAACCCCAGATATTTTAAATAAGTCAAAATATACCTTCTACAGATTCAGCATGCACAAGTAAAAATGCCACAAGAAACATCATTTTCATGATTTCCACCATTTAATCTAGATCTGAGGAAAAGGAGATTAAAAATATTATTTTAGTTAAGTATTGAAACAACTTTGAAGTATATATGTGGATGAAATCTTGAACAGTAAAGAAAATATTACATCATGCTACAATCGCCATATAGTAATATATGTATCGATACAGTTCAGTTGCTTGATATAATGTTTATGAAGCGTTCTTTTCATTCATTATAAAGTGGACAAATGAAAAAGAAATGACACGTAGTTATAGAAAGACAACAACAACAAAGTTACGTATTATTGAGTAATGTTCACTCTGAAAATATGGTGATTAAGAAATATACATTAAATGCGAAGCCGTGTATGTAGAACTTGCAGTTTCCTAGTCCTAATGTATGAATAAGTTTTAATTACACATTTTAGATTATGTTTGAGTTTGCATTTGAAAGATGACAGTGATGAAGAATTTCGGATAACGGAAGAAAGTTCATTCAAGTCCCGTATTACAGACGACAGAAAGGAATTTTCATAAAGCGTTGTTCTTGTGTGTAAGGTTTGGATGTCCTCGGCATTACGTAAGTTATATCTAAAAGTATTGCCTACGGATAGTGGGACTAAAATCAAAGATATAGAGGATATTTATTTGTTTGTGTGTAAGATGAAATTTTATTTCATCGAGCGGGCTTTAAAAACACTATTCTCACGAGTGGCGTAGCCACGAGTTAGAATACTGTTTTTAAAGTTCACGAGATGAAATAAAATTAAATCTTACACAACAAACAAACAAATTTTCTTTTTATTTTATGCTTAAAAACAAGTTAAAACGAAATTTCCATAATTTTAACGTTGATATGAAAATCTGTTTCCCCCATTGAGAGCCCCATTTAGTTGGATTTTCATTATAAACAAGAAGTCTTGAGCTGAAAAATAAGTCCGCCAATCAACGTTAAATGAGGTGATATTTATTCATTTTATTAAAAAATATGAATAATCGCTTGTTTTAATAATAAAAACAAACAATTCTTGTAGGAGAAAAAGTCCAACCATCCATCCATATTTCTGTTACTTACTGCGAATTTATATTAGACCTGGTTTTGTAAAATGTAAGCGGCAGCCATTTTTTAAAGTTGTGTATTTCATGGGAGGAAAATAATTGTGTAAGATTCAGAGGGATATAATTTGGATTTGTTAGTCATACACCTTTTTAAAAGAAAGGAAACTTATTTGAGGATTGTAACAGACAAAAAATAAGTGTTGGCAGATGTGAAAACATTCAAAAAAGGAGCTAGGAAAATTGAAAACTTGGAAGCTTGCTCAGGAAGCTGGGTTGTTTTACTTGTTCTTCGAGTGATGTCTGTCATTGCTTTTCAATTTTTCATAAAGCGTACGGCAGTTATTGCTCGTAGGATACTTTAATATGCCCAAATGTCATCAAGAGCAGTTTTGCATGGGGAAGGAATGTATTTTTCAGACTGTAAAAATGAAACAAAACAAATTAGAGACAAAATTTGGTGATTGGAATTTGAATGAATAGAAGTAAGTTTTCTTCTTTTTATTACATGTATTACTTTTGAAATTTAAGTTATTTATCAATTTCAGCTTTGTTTTTCCTTTAAACAGCCTGACATTGTCAGAATTGTCAGCAAAAATAAAATTGAGGTACCACATGGGGAAAATCTTAAAAAAGTAATTTCGTCATTGAAAGGTGTGAAATTATATTTTGATAATTTTCACTCTGAAATTATCAAATATAATTTTCACGGATAAATCAGTAATCCACTGAAAAGCATAAAATAAAGTTTGTTATTTGATCGTTAGTCACAGATCTACGGATAAACTTGTACTGATAATTTATGTTTAGGATCCGTACAATATAAAAGAGGTGAAAAATTAGATTGTTGTTAAGTTTGTGTCCCATTTAAATTTTTATTTACTTTTTTGCATTCACTTTCCTCTTCTTTTTGAACCATTTAAAGATGTTTTTCACTACTATACATGATTATATTCAAGCACAACCTCTTTGTGTTCGATGATTGTTTGAATTGGACCTTTTTATCGAGGGCAACAAACGTTTGTGTAACGACATATGCTTCATTGCACACTTTTTTTCTTGTGTTATGCCGCTTCTTCAAATTTGAACATGCTGCAGGACATAGTAGAATATGTTACCTTGATTTTTAGTTATTACTAACGAACAATTTGATCCCCTGATTGACATAACTATGAACGTTATGTATATGATCTTTATTTATGTCATTATTTATAGTAGCATGCAAATATAATATAATTAAAACAATGTAGAATTGAAATGCTTATAACATATTTCGTAATATTCACTAACGATGTTTAAGAAAGTCACATTAGTGAACGCTCAACAATTAACAGATATAGTGGCAATTATTAAATATGAGTGATTTCGAATTGCTATTAAATGGATACTTTGACAAGCTACATGTGTCTTCACATCTGTGGTACAAGACTCTGCAAACACTCATATAGATGGACCAGAAAACAAGAGCGCATCATATCAAAATCATCAAAAATTCTTTGTGTGTCGATGATGAACACAATGTTTACATGTAACGTATAACAAGTGTGTAAGATTTTTATTTAGTTCCGCCCATTGTTTTCTCGTTTAGGGCACAGGCATTCTTTTACTTGGGGACCATACGCCGCTTTTCATGTAGTGGCACCACTTTGTTACATTGAAGGTTCCATGATAACCGCCGTATGAACATATCTGCGGATGTTTCTAAATTTAAAATTTCACAATTTTCGTGTTAAATGTTGAATTCTGCTTAAGCCAGTGCTAGGGGGCGTGGACGATTACTTGCACTTTCCATTACCGTCCATGAACAGGCTCAATCAAACCGAGCCTGCAACATTTTCAATTTTCTTTAGGGATCTGTATTTTTCTATTTGATATCTGAAGAAAACGCCTCCAATATATACCAATTAAACGAGATAACTAAACAAATTCCTCGCATATACAGGAAAGTTAGAAGAATCTTTACGTTCAAATTCCTGAAGCTATATCAACAATATTCTTCTCCTAATGTTCATCTAAACAAAATTTTGGTTACTATGTAACTGCAATAAGAACAACAAAACAACAACAACAACGCTTAAATCGAGGGACCTTATCATAACCCATAACAATATCATATCTATTAAGCTTTATGTTGAATTATTCATGATTCAATGTAGACATTTGAATTATATCAAACAAACAAACGTAATCATGTTTACCTTAAAAAGATCTAAAAGATATGAAGTATCTCTGTATTTGAAAAAAAGGCTTTCATATTAAATCTATGTTGAACAGAGTCCTGAAAGGATTAACAGCTTTTGAGAAATATTGATCACATTAACAACGATATCTAATCCTTAGCCACCAACCAAAAGGAATTAAAAATATTAATAACTATAAAACAATCAACAGTAGAGCGACATTCACCGATTAAAGCAAACAAGTTTGGCTTATGAATAAAACTTAAGACATGCAAGGAAACATGCTTAGTTAAAAAAAAACTAGACTGGGGAGGGTTGGCAGAAAACATCACATATTTGCCACTGAGTACCTGGCATGACTAGTACAATCTGGAAAACACATTTTATACGTTATAAGGTAAGGTATTTGATCTTTATTTTTGGATAGTTGCTTGTTTTGGGGTATTTCTTGCTGGAAAGAAGATATATATTTATCTGAAATTATGAAATTCTCAAACAGTACCTCATCAGACATATTCTTGCCATTGACTTTAACCACATCATATGCCATGAAAAAGATTGTCCATGTTAAATTATGTAATAAATGGACCAAACATGCTTTATGAATCAATTTTGGTGCTTATGATAATGAATATCAAACCCTTAACCATGCTCTTATTTTTTCAGCCCATCAGTGGATGATTAGAATTTGTTGAAAAGTCGGACAAATTCTGGATAGAGCCATTCAACAAAATAATTGACTGTCTGTGATCTTCAATTAACCAACAGAACTTCCGACACATAAGGTCATATTTGCTAGCATTGATATTGATGCTATTTGTGCTTTGGAATTGACAAGAGCTAACATAATTGAGAGCAACTCTAAGGTGATCGGTGATTTACGAACAACAAAGTTTGCTTGAGACTTTTTAACTTCACAAAAAAGTGACAAAACTTTTGTCGGAAGTTACATACCTGCTTCAGTTTTTAGCATTATATCGTAGTTTTTGAGAGAGCCTATTGTTTATGACCAAGTTAGTTCGTTCATTGAACGCCGCCTTTCCATGTTGATCTCGTTAATCATATTTTATTTTAAAGAAAAGGATCACTTTATTCAGGTTTAAGAATCTAGCCCTGAACAAATCTGCGGATGTTTCTAAATTCAAAAGTTTACTATTTTCGTGTTTAAATGTTGAATTCTGCTTAGAGGTACGAACCCAGAGGTACTTGTGCGACTTGGAGAACAATGGGTAACAGTAAATTCTCTTTGATCCTATTCATTCCGTTTTTACTTGTGTGTCTTTTTTAAGCCTTGTGTGACTAAAAATGGCCAAAAATATCAAAGGAAAAGTCACATAAGTACCATTTTGAGAGTACGTTCGTGGACAGTACCGTGCACTTTCCAGTACCGTCCATGAACAGTCTTAATAAAACCGAGCCTGCATCATTTGTCAATTTTGTCGTTTTGAGCGATCCTAAGCGATTCTATTTTTCGATATTTTTGAAGTTGTATTCAACTAACAAATGTCTGGCTCATTTAACAGATGATATTCTATTATAAATGGGCAAGTTTGGACTATCTCGGTTCATTTAATCATTATAAAATTTCAAAATTGCCGTTATGTATCTTTTCAACCAATGTAAACAACTTAAAATACTAGTAGATAATAAAAGATTTCATTGATACAATATCACATAACTATGTAAAGAATCACAATCATTCGAAGGTTTACGGACAAAAAATATACATTTTAACAACGACCAACAAGACAAAATAGCGGCCTGTCTTGACGACTAGATTATGTGGCGCAATTGATAACCTGTGATTGTATTCTAACAATACCTTAATAGCAAACATGTCTGAAATTACAAATATGTATAACGGCCATCTTGCTTTTTTCCGCCATATTCGATTTTTAAAGTTGGTCCCACTGTTAGGAAATACTGTACATTTGACAACAGAGTTATTATTCATCAGTGAAAAAAATAGATTTCTGCGCTACACCCGCAAAAAGATGATCAAAATAATAAAAGTGTTACATGTCAGGTCGCTCAAATTCGGCTACGCTTGATGGTCATGAAAGCGATATTGCTTTTTATCATTTTTCCTGTTTCTGTATGAATGTATTTACATAATGATAGGGTTGGTAAGTGTTTTAAAACTATATTTTAATCTTATACAATATCTTATTACAACATTTGTATCCACGGACAAAAGAAACTATTTTATGAAAAGAATTCTACGTATTTGTTCAGGATTCAGAAAACCAAGCTGGTAATGCGCTGTTATCTTGACATTTTGATTTAGTTTCATGTCAAACAAATAAAGCTAAGCGAAACGTAGCGATTCTCAACAATGGTGTACTGTCAGTTGCATCTTCCTGGTTTAATGAAATTCTAATATTACTGCCTTTTTCTTGATTTTTATTTTCATCCAGTTCGTAGAATTAATTACATTGTACGGCTGGATATATTATACAAATTAACAAACATATTTCAGACTACCGGGTATTTTAATTGTAAGAATAAACGATGGGCATGACTATCAAAATCTTAACAAGAGCCATTTTAACATGGCCGTCCCCCGTCGAGTGTGTTTGCTCATTTGAAGATTGTATATAATTATGTAGTAGAGCAGAATGAGGCCTTTTGGTAATGAAAACTGATGTCTGAAGTTATTACAGATTTGAAACCTATGTGAGTACCAATTCCCTTATTTTCAGATCTCAAAGTCAAATGTTAAGGGTATTGTGAGCCTTTTATTATATAGAGTTTTTCAGGCAAAAAATAAGTGTGAAAAATAACAAAGGTCAATAACTCAAAAATTATGATGGGTAGAGTTATTATTTTTGTGCACTGCATATTTCCTGAATGAGATCTATACACTTGTGAAGTTTCATGTTGATATCTCTAAGGCCTTTTAGTTATGCTCCGGACAAAAATTAAGTATGAAAAATAACAAAAGGCATTTATTGAAATATAATGCAGGGTAGGTTATTATTCTTGTGTGCTGCACTCCTCCTCAATGAAATGTATTCACCTATGAAGCTTCAAGTTGATACACTCTTTGAGATAAGCTCCGGACAAAAAGTATGAAAAATAACAAAGGGCAATAACTAAAAAGACATGCAGGGTAGAGTAATCATTCTTGCCTACAGCATTCCTCCTCAATAAGATCTATCCACATATGAAGTTTCATGTTGACATCTCTCAGATGTTTTAAGTTATGCTCCACTCAAGATAACAAAGGACAATAACTAAAAAATTATGATGGGTAGAGTTATCATTCTTGTGCACTGCACACCTCCTGAGTAAAATCAAACTTATTTTTTAGTTTTAGATTAACTATAAATTTTAGTTATTGTCCTTTGTTATTTTTCATACTTAATTTTTCACCTGAGTGGAGCATAAATCAAAAAGTCTTTGAGATGTCAACATGAAACTTTATAGGTGGATAGATCTTATTGAGGAAGAATGCTGTGCGCAAGAATGATAACTCTTATTTTTTGAGTTAATGCCATTTGTTATTTTTCATACTCAATTTTTCACCTGAGTGGAGCATAACTCAAAAAGTCTTTGAGATGTCAACATGAAACTTTATAGGTGGATAGATCTTATTGAGGAAGAATGCTGTGCGCAAGAATGATATCTCATATTTTTTGAGTTATTGCCCTTTGTTATTTTTCATACTTTTTGTCCGGAGCTTATCTCAAAAAGTGAAAGAGATATCAACTTGAAACTTCAAAGGTGGATAGATCTCATTGAGGAGGAGTGCATCACACAAGAATAATAACTTTACCCTGCATAATTTTTCAGATATTGCCCTTTGTTATTTTCATGCTTAATTTTTTGTCCAGAGCATGTGAGATGTCAACATGAAACCTCATAGGTGGATTTATTTTATTGAGGAGGAATGCTGTGCGCAAGAATGATAACTCTACCCTTTATAATTTGAGTTATCGCCCTTTGTTATTTTTCATACTTTTTGTCCAGAGCTTATCTCAAAAAAAAAATTAGAGGTATCAACTTGGATAGATCTCATTGAGAAGGAGTACAGCACACAAGAATTATAAACTACCCTGCATTATTTTTCAGTTACTGCCCTTTATTATTTTCAGCCATCAGTATTCACTTAGGTTTCAAACTGTAATCACTTAAGCCATCAGTTTTCATTACCAAAAGACCTCTTAAAATTGAAATATTCTCCTCTACTACATATACATTCTTCCAATGAGCAAACACATTCGGCGGGGGATGGCCATGTGAACATGGTTCTTGTTTATATTATCTTTATATTGGCTAATTAGTTTTTGTTCTGCCTTTATCTTTTCAAGGTTCATTTACAAAACAGTTTGTGTTTTTCTCTGACTTTCCATCCCTTAGTAAGATACCTTTAATTATTTCGTCAATAATATTATAAAGTTTTGCCTTCTCATATTTAAGATTTTCGATTAAAATATTGTTATTCGTTTTGAACTCAATTTCTTCTACCAGATCCCTAATTTTAGAGTTGATTACATGCTAATTTTTAAGATCGTCTTTCGTTCGATTTGTAGTTTAATACATTTTATTTTACCCACAATAATTTCTTGACATTCTACAAATTACAAGACGTATAAATAAAAATATCGACTTCTAATCTGTAAGTACTATTTCCGCTAAAGTAAGCTTTTCCGTTCAGCTTAGACAACCAATTGCCTGTATCATCAGTGTTTGAATTATAATGTATTTCTTGCAATAACGCTATTGCAAATTTATGTTAGTAAAGACAACTAGGGTCTGTCAAACAGAAGACTCTGAACCAACACAGAACTCTTTCATGTTTTTTTGTCGATGCTAATCATTTTACATTTAATGTACATATTTGAATTGTGAGCATATTATATTGAATGTAGATTCATACGTAAACTAGAGTCTTTTTTTTCATTTTTGCATGAATTTATAAATTAACATTTTATATGTCATGCTTAGATGTATAAACGGCGCATAGAAATACATTAGTAGACATATTATATTGAAATAACGTAATACTGTCTTTCTCCTACCTAAAACAATTTACTGATTTGTTTATCTTTTTTTAATGGAACTTCCGTTACTTCGCAAACGGCGGTGACCTTGGCGTGACCGGAGAGGTTTGAGTGCCAAAAAGTGGTTATTTTTAACTTAATTTAATTTTAAGAATGTCAATAATTCTTACAGTGCCCTCCATGAAACGCCTTAACTTCATAAGTTAACAATAACACTATAGCAAAGTTTTTCTTAAATACATATAGATTCAATTATGATATATTCCTTAAAAATAATTCCATTAGAGTAGAGTAGAAAAGAAAATAAATCTAAAATATCAAAAACAAATTTAATTTTTAATACGAATACGGAAAAAGGCATTTGTGTACAAACTCATTCCTACCTTAGAAGTTTCCAGTCACTCTACCACTCTATGTCATTTATTTTTAAATAACTATGCATCCAGAAGATAACAGAAAATTTAGCGTTTTAACCGGGAAGATAAATAACGTATCTTCAACAGGTTCAACTAACATTTTAAAATGTACTTCAAAGACATAAAACATTCAACGCAATTGTTTCATCCGGGTTATTTCTAATACTACGTGATGGTAAAGGACCAATCGCAACTACTCGGCCTTTTCCGTCAGTCTTCGGGTAAGGACCTCGAACGCAATTGTATGAATACTATTCGTTCGGGTGCGCATCATTTTATCACTCGGGCTATGCCCTCGTGATATAATTCCTCGCATCGGAACTCCAAACAGTGATTTTATTGAGCGATAAAATCACTGTTTGGGATATATTATTTCTTAAATAATGCACGCTAAATTGGTATCTTCTTCTTAAATATAAATCCTTGGTTCAACTTAGGAAAACACCAAAATGTACGGGTTTATATTAAATTACTGGCGGTTAACGAATTATGTATCTACCATGTAACAGTATATATGAAGTGATTTTAGTTTATACGAACCAGGAACACATACAAGTAAACAAACCGTTTATTTATGACCGTACTTTTTAACAGGAAAAGTGACAGTTTAACATAGATATGGGTTTTTTTCTCGGAATGCAATTTTTATTCATTATTTTTAACATTTTGTTAAACTTTGGTTGGATATGTCTATCAGGAAGAATAAGTTATATTTTAAAACATCATTACGTTTTAAATAATAACTTTATGTGAAAATGAGAGCTTTTAACTTCAATCACTTTCATTGCCTAGTATAAAGAGTATAAGCCTCTCACTTATGCGGATCTGAGCTCGAATATCACGTATTCCATAGATAACGACAGTGCGACAGTACGAAGACACGATAGTACGACAATGCGACAGTATAAAAACATGATAGTACGACAATGCGACAGTATGAAGACATGAAAGTACGACAATCCGGCAGTTTAAAGACATGATAGTACGATAATGCGACAGTATGAAGGCATGATAGTACGACAATGCGACAGTATGAAAACATGATAGTACGACAATAAGACAGTATAAAGACATGATAGTACGACAATAAGACAGTATGAAGACATGATAGTACGACAATGCGACAGTGTTAAGAAATGCTAGTACGACAATGTGACAATATAAAAAACATGATAGTACGAAAATACGACAGTATAAAGACATGATAGTACGACAATCCGACAGTATAAAGACATGATAGTACGACAATCCGACAGTATGAAGACATGATAGTACGACAATGCGACAGTATAAAGACATGATAGTACGACAATGCGACAGTATGAAGACATGATAGTACGACAATGCGATAGTAAGAAGACATGAAAGTACGACAATGCGACAGTAAAACATGATAGTACGGCAATCCGACAGTATAAAGACATGATAGTACTACAATCCGGCAGTTTAAAGACATGGTAGTACGACAATCCGACAGTAAGAGGACATGATAGTACGACAATGCGATAGTAAGAAGACATGAAAGTACGACAATGCGAAAGTAAGAATACATGATAGTACGACAATGCGACGATGTAAAGACATGACAGTTCGACAATGCAACAATATGAAGACATGAAAGTACGACAATGCGATAGTGTGAAGACATGATAGTACAACAATGCAACAATATGAAAACATGATAGTACGACAATGCGACAATGTGAAGACATGATAATACGACAATGCGACAGTATAAAGACATGATAGTACGACATTGTGATAATATGAAGACATGATAGTACGACAATGCGATAGTGTGAAGACATTATAGTACAACAATGCAGCAATATGAAAACATGATAGTACGATATTGCGACAATGTGAAGACATGATAGTACGACAATGCGATAGTATTAAGACATGATAGTATGACAATGCAACAATATGAAAACATGACAGTACGACAAACCGACATTGTGAAGACATGATAGTAAGACAATGCGACAGTATGAAGACATGAAAGTACGAGAATCCAACAGTATATAGAAATGATAGTACGACAATACGACAGTTTGAAGATTTGATAGTACGACAATGCGACACTGTTGCATTATGTCTAAATTTAGTTAAAACTAGGTGCATTTTTTGGGGTAACTTACTTATGTTATTTTATCATTTTTCTTATTTATGCTTACTTAATGTCTTGATAATTTATATCGGTAGGATATTTGCTTATATTCCCATCACGAAACTTCTACGCTGGCAGAAGTTCTTCGAGTTGTGTGATGAGACCACTAAAGCACTTTTAACATACTAGTATTTTGAATGTAACACCCCCAAAAGTCCAGAACACCGTTCAGATTTTGTTTTCCTACGTATTATCCGACTTTTATGATATTATCAACATTACTGAATTAAGATGTAAGTGTATCGACAGTAAAAGACGGGATCCGGGCTTTACTTCCATGTTTTTATTTGAAATTAAAAAGAATTTATAAATTGTCTTCAAAGGTGATATACTTATGGAACAAAATATGTGCAAAATTTCAGATCTTTCGCCATATCCAATTTTCTAGAATAATTGTTCTTATTCTGAAATATTACATAGAATAGAAAACCGCTGCAACGCTAATCTTTCAAATCAAGATAAGAACAGCACAAAATACGATTTTCAGTTTATTTCTGAGTATATTTCTAAATTTCCCTATGCATAGTTTGCTGTTTTAAATGTATGCCCAAGCTGATCTATGTAAGAAATTCAAACTTTTAATTTTCAGACTTTTTGACCTCAGTGGAGTTCCTTAAAAATGCACTAGAAGCAAACTGTTATTTTTCCCTCTCGGTTAGTTTTTTTACGATCACATGTTGACAACGATGGAGAAGACATACAACTTGATACAGAACCACATAACAACTCAATACAATATTTATAATTTTATTTACAAGGAAATGAAATGCAGGATTTCTTATAGTTATAATATAAAGTACGAGCAAAAATATACAAGACATATTAAGATGAAAAATTTATATCAACACTAATACATTGTATATGAAAGTTCAAACGTTTGTTTGATTAACGTTCCGCTTCCATTCAAAAATCAAGGGTAATGATTTTCCTATCGCAGGTCCATGATGCTAGTTAACAGTTCAATACTCAATCCGAGCTCTAGGGTGTAGCCACGCTGTTGGTCCTTTCACGCCGACATTCCTTCAGTAAAATTAAAGACGTTCCAATAAATTGACACACTTGAACATCTTACGCTGAAGCAACTTGCTTTATGTATAAAGCCTAAATATAAAACACCATATGGAAAACCATGATGGATAAAAAAATAAGCATGTTTCATTAATATAAGTACATGTATATAATATAAGACCTCGTTATCATACTACGGTGATATTTTGTAAACACAGACACAATATAAAAATGCTTCTTTAGAGACATTAATTGAATACGTCGCTACGTTTGTTTTCTTACATAGTAAGTCAACACTTATATTAATTTATCTGAGTCAAAACAAAATATTTAATTTACTCAGAAAACTGAATTATCAATTCAACATTAAATAATTAAATGCAATAGCCAAGCAAAGCTACGTCGAATTCCTCCACAGTTTGTATACATTAAACATTCCTTTTCTCATCGAAAATATAAAATAAGTTTTTGAATTTCACCTATAGGTTAGCGTATACTAGTAAGCATATTATAACACAAAACTCGCTGAAGAGGTTGCGCCATTCTTGACTTATTCAATTGGTTTGGTGCACCATTTACCGGTTTAAACTCCCCAGTAGTACCTATTGTGCTGCTGACCGTTTAAAGGCGGCGCCCCTTTGTGTTCCTCAGATATATGTCTGGTTGTTTCATACTGATTTGGTGACACTTTTGTTTGATTCCCTTGTTGTTTTCTCGTCAACGGTAACTATCTTCCCCTTTTACCCCAGTTTTTATTTCTTTAATTTTGACACCTCCTCCCAGAATCTCCTATCCCCTTCTCATGTTCCTTGTTGATCTTGTTTATCATATTTTACTATTTAACAGTTTATAATTATTTTCATAAACCGTTGATTTACTTGACAAATGATTAGAATGAAAATAGTTTAATGTGGTTTTGACTAAGATATGAAGAAAAAGAATGTATTAAATATTTTAATATGATATATTATTATTATTTATTCAAGGATTTCAATGAATTTAGTATTGAAATTTCACGAATATAATATTCTATTTATCACATATTTATAATGAGAACGTTTTACAGTTAAAAAGAGTCATTTTTCGTTGACGCACCAATTATGTAACACTAACGCATTAATTAAAGCTATGTTTGTATATAACACAAATGTCGTCTTGTCAATGTGTTATTACACTAGTGTAATATTATCATATTGTCATAGTAACGACCTTTATTAACAAAAAATGCCTTTGAAGTAAAGCTTATATATCTACATGTTTGCATATTACCAAACATCATCAAGATCTGAGATTTGTTGAAAGTAGGGAGCTACCTTAAGGCAACACACCGGTTGTAAAACTGCAGGCCATCACGTGCCGACTTATTTGCCTCACGTATCCATTATGACAGATATATACAGATTATATTAGCAGTAAATTAAGAAGTTTACTTTTATAGTAATGTTTATGACACGGATGTGGATGAATCATATGTATAATGGTGATGATGATGATAATGATGATGATGATGATGATGATGATGACTTTACACAGGTAATGTCTGCCTAATGATTAAAGGTCTGGTAATAAAAGAGATAACGAAAACACATTTGTAACTAGTTCTACAACATTACCAAATAATTGCACTCGCGAATTCATATGACAAAATTTTGTCGTCTGTATTTTGATGTTTTTTCATTATTGTTCTCACACACCGACATATGAGTTCTGTCTTGCCAAAAGATACTTGTTTCTATTTCTAAGACATCTCCAGTTTCTGCATAGATGTACGGATATTTAGATGTGCACATGTTTGAAAGGAACGGCTGCAACTGGTTGTAAAACAATAGTCACAGTGACGGCAATAATTCACCGATTATTATATGCCATGTCTTGTTAGAAAGCTAATATATACCCTGCGTTATGAATATATGCGATTAAGATAAACATGCTATATGATTGTGTTAAATGATTGTAAAATAACTGTGCTTATTATTTGGCCACATACTTCTTTCATGCAAATGTCTTTTAACATAGCGGTATCTAAAAAGATTTTCATCTAAAGAGTAAGATTTCGATGATACACAACACAGTGAGTTTTGCTGAAATTGTTCAAGTACTTATTTTATATCGCTTTTAAATATTTCATAATGCATTTCATACTGATGAAGCTATTCTAATGTAGCAAAAGGAAAATGGGATCAAGAATCAACAAAGTAATATGATGTTGACAGAACCCAGCCAGCTGACACAACTAAGCAACATCTGCAAG